CCGCTGGAGCTGCTGCCAGGTATCTGGCATGGAGCAGGTCGGTGGCCCTGGCCCAGGAGGATGGCGGTGGATGAGAGCTTCCTGCAGACAAGCCGGGACTGGCCATGGCCCCGTGGGTTGGCAGTGCCAGAGCTCGCCTCAGGAGTGCCACGTGGGTTTGGAGCCTGTCTCGCCATGGTGCCCGTTCCGTCTCAAGGAGCTGCCACAGTAGGGAGAGCATGGGGCTGAGGGGAGAGCAGGGCACGTTCTGCCCTTGGCAGGCATGTAGCAGAGTGCTATGTTGGGCTGCTCCTGCACGGGACATGGGGACACCATCCTAAGGGCCCCTGCCATCTGGTGGCATTGTCCTGTCCCTCAAGGAGTGGACCCAAGTGAGTCCCAGTCAGCCCACGGGACTTGACAGCCTGTCACAACCCTCTGCCTCTCCTGATCTCTCTCCGGGTGGGAACCACTGAGGACCAGCCTGCCTTTTGGAGGGGAGATGGAGGCTGCCTTCAGATCTCACCCTCTTTCAAGGGCCTCCTGTACTTTGGCAGGGGACTCGGGGCTGTGGTGGAGCCCCGGGGTCCCTCACCTTTCCCCCCCTCACATGTGGCAGTTCTTGTTTTGCAGGTGCAGCCGGGTGTGTAGCAACGTTGCTCCACGATGCAGCCATGAACCCTGCTGAAGGTAACGATGGTCCTGGCCTGCCAGGGAGGGGAGGAGCAGGGTCTGCCTGAGCCTCTGGGGTCCCCTCGGTGGCATGGAAGGTGCTTCTGTTGCTTTCCTGACTGCAAGGATCCTTTAGGGTCACGTGGGTCCTCTTAGGGATGCTAGTGGCTGCCTGTTATGGACAGGGTGGGTAGAAGAGATTAACTTGGAAGTGCAGCACACCCCAGCTTAGGAGGAGCTGGGAGGGAATGGGCCTTTCACCCAGGAGTTTGGCTGGGGACTGTTACCCGGAACAGGGAAGAAGTCAAGAGATGTGATCTGCACTGCTAAAGTCATTCCAAGTGTGTTGAAGCTGGGCACTGCTATGGTGAGAACTCTGGTACGGTTGTGGGCCTGTGTTCAAGAAGAAAATTAAAAGAATGGGATACAAAAACACGCTAGAGAGGTTGGGAGAAGGGAGATCTTGTGGAATGTCTGGAAGATGATGATTTTGTTGAGCCTGGTATGTATGAAAAAACAGAGTTTGCAATTTAAGTCTGTGAATGTGGTGGGAAAAGGAGGAATAATGAGGAAAGGCCAGTCATGAAGGTATTTTTTCTTCTTAAAATTGGAGAGCTTGCGACAGTTCAGGCTCTAGCTGATGTGGGCTCAGCAAGGCTCATGCCTGCCCACTGCATGGCTGGGACTCGAGGAGCAGGCAGCTGGCTGGCTAGACAGTTGTCATTCCTTCCCTGGAGCTTTTCTTGTCATGACTGTAGTAGTTTATAGTCACATCATTTTTATTTCCCTGTGGTCATGTTGAGATAGGGGGAGGCAGGACAGGGGCGGGCTCCGCTCTAGGCTTCCCTGTCCTGCTCTTGGATGTATTGGGGGGTTTGGCATCTGAATTTTGCCCTGGAGTGGCAGCGTTTCGGCAGTGGCTGCAAACAGTTCCTGGCTGGTGAGCTCTGTGATGTGCTGTGGTTATTCTGGGCTTCAGTGGGGGTGGCTGGGGAGGGACAGTATTATCCAGATAGAGAGCTGTCTGGAATATAAAAGGACTGAATGCAGAGCAGGTTCTTCAGACGGCATGGTAGTTCTGCTGCCGTGAATGAGCAGTTGCTCAGGAGTGAGGCTGGATCTGGAGTGTAACTGACGGGATATCGAGATGTTCCCTGGGGCTATGGCAGCTGCAGGGTTTGAAGGTGGTGATGTCTGCCTGACAGGGAAGCTTCAGCAGATCTAAATGGCTGGAGTCCTGTCTGGGGACACCCAGTGCTGCTGGTTCAAGTTGTCTGTCATTAGCTCTTAGGCCCGCATGACCAAACTCCAGGCATTTGGAGGGGAAGCCTGGCTTCATGTTTACCCTTCTCTTTTCTCTTCCCCTCCATGCCTGGGTCCTGGCTGCTGCTGCTGCTGGCTACCACTTTATGTCCCAAGTGGTCAAGCAGAGGATGCAGATGTACAACTCGCCTTACCAGCGTGTGATGGACTGTGTGCGGGCTGTGTGGCGCAACGAAGGGGCCGGAGCTTTCTACCGCAGCTACACCACCCAGCTCACCATGAACATCCCCTTCCAAGCCATTCACTTCATGACCTACGAGTTCTTGCAAGAGCAGCTCAACCCCCACAGACAGTACAACCCAGGCTCTCACGTGGTCTCTGGAGCCTGTGCGGGGGCTGTCGCTGCCGCTGCCACTACGCCTTTGGACGTTTGCAAAACACTGCTCAACACCCAGGAGTCCTTGGCCCTGAGCTCCAACATCAGCGGACACATCACAGGCATGGCTAATGCCTTCAGGACGGTGTACCAAGTGGGCGGTGTGACCGCCTACTTCAGAGGGGTCCAGGCCAGAGTCATTTATCAGATGCCCTCGACAGCGATTGCCTGGTCCGTGTATGAGTTCTTCAAATACATCCTCACCAAGCGCCAGGAGGAGCGTCGGGCTGGGAAGTGAGCCAGAGCCAAATGCTGTTCCAGACCTGCCTCACATCCCCCTCCTGGTTTGTCTTCTGACCCCTCTCCCTTTCAGTTTGGTTTGTGTTGAAGAGAGGGGGCAGTGAAGCCCTTTGGGGTTTAGTGATGCCGTTTTTTCCCTGTGACTGTTGCAGCTCTGCTCAGGCTGCACAGCTTGCTCTCCCCCAGGGTCCTCCACGACACCCTGCTGGGAGCTGCAGCCCAGGTCACATTCCCTCGCACTTTGGTGGAGCTGTGCTCCTGTCCTTCCCTTAACCACAATGTCTCACACAAAGCTCACCCCTTTTTGGAGGGGAAGATGAATGTCCTGCCTGGCTTCTGGCAGGGCCAAGCTGAGCTCGCAGTCGCCAAGGAGGAGGTGATGGCGGATGCTGGGGGCTTCGTCTGGCCTTTGGCTGAAGCGAAGTGTAAGCCTTGGCCGTTGTCTTGTAGCACGCACACGTGATGCTGACTGCCGCAGTGGTGGTGGTGGTGGGTGAGGGGGAGGATGGCACTTGAGGAGGGAGCCTGTAGGTTTGTTTTTGTTCCTGCTCTTGACACCTCCAATAAAAACAGTTCTGCTCTATCCTCATGTCCCATTCTTACTCCGGCATGGCCCAGCTCCTGGCACTGTGGCTTTCTGACTGTACCTGGTGCTCAGTGAGCTCTTTTGATGAATGCCAAAGCGGGGAGGGAAGTGGGGTCTGGAGGTGGTGGTGGGAGAAGGGGATCTGCCTAGCCCAGTCACCCTGGCAGCGTGCAGGGATGAGGGTGTTTGCCTATCCCATTTGGCTCATGATCCGTCACCTGCTGCTGGTGTGGATTGTGACTCCACGGGGGAAGCTGAGGTTTATGCTCCTCAGCCAGGTAGTCCCACACCCTCAGTCTGAGTAGGAGTCCTCAGGATGCTTCCAAACTTCTCCGAATGGAGCTGGTGGCAGGAGGGTCCTGAGTTGTGTGTGTCAGGAACAGCACGGGAATTTGGTGCTGAGTGCTGGTGGAGGGTTTTCTGCACCTCATATAGGAGATTCGGGGCTTAGCAGCCCTTTTACCCACTCATTTTGAGTAATTAAACTAGTTTAATGCTTGATGAGCATCTTAAAATTCTATCAGCACACTTGCTCAAAGTGCTAGTATTTTTTCCAATCTAATGGTAATTAGAAGAATAACTTGGTTTTCTAACGTGTTGTTAGTTGTCTTGTTACTAATTTATTTTAGGGTCCCACCCAACTCTGGAGCTGTGAGCTATCCTCACTCTGTTGTGTGCCGAGCATTAAAGCATTGCCTCATTGTGCTGACCTGCCCAGAGCAGAGCTCTGGGTTTCTTGAACAGGGTGCTCGTGGGTGATGCCTGACTCTCCCAAGGTGCACGCAGGAGTGGCATGTGTCACCCAGTGCCATGCCCAGAATAACTCCCTGGAGGAAATGCATTCACGGCCATGGTATGTGCAGCTGGTGGGTGTCCGGGTTGGCTTAGACCTGCTCCAGAGGGTCTGCTGGCCTGGCCTGCACATAGGGCTGCTGGAGTGGGTTATGGTGAGGACAAAGAGGGGTTTTCTGCAGCTAGAAAAGCTCCTGGGTGAGCAAGGGGGATGCACAGCCCTCAGGGCCATTGGGCTCTATCACTGCTGGGGGACTGGAGGGCAGGGACCCCTGCACTGCAGGGCTGGATGTTGGCACCCTGCCCAAGCCCCAGCCCAGCACAGGATCCCCCTTTTCCTTACACATCTCTCATGCCCTGGTTCCTGAAGGTGGTGAGGAAAGCTGAGTGACCTCCTGTGGGATTTTTGATGGCTGCCTGGCCATCTGGGTGCCCCTGGCACAGAGCAGCCACAAGCACTGTTCTGCAGCCCTGTTCCACCTGGGCTGTGTGCTGTGCCCATCCTCTGCTCCCTGGCATGGGCTGCAGGCTCTGGTCCCTGTTTTTTCTGCACAAGCAGAAGAATGAGAAACTCCTTAAAGACACAAAATCCACAGGAGGTTAAGAAGTTCAAATTTTCCCACTGTTTCAGGAGCTGGGGCTTTAAAGAAATAGTCTGAGTATTACAAGATTTGGCAGCCCTGCGTCTCCTCCGCCCAAGAGTGAGAAGCAGAGATGGCTGGGAGAGACCAGGGCAGGATTAGCTGGGTGGGCAGGGCATGAGACAGGACTTTGCAGAAGATGGGTATGACTGGTCTCTGCCAGGACGCGTCTCTCTGCCCAGGAGCTGAAAGCTGTTGGCAGCAGAGCTGCAGCTTTGCCTTGAGCCTTCACCGTGCACTGGGGCAATGACAAACCCCGTGGAGGGAAAGGCATAAATGGACTGGGGCTGGAGGAAGATTCACACTATTAAATCCATCAGCTGCTGGAAGAGGCTCTATAAATGTCAGCGGGTAAAAGCATGATTGAAAGTGTCTCCAGGATGTTTCCTGGAACTGCCCACAGAAGTGCTGGGGGAAGGAGTGAGACCCCCAGGAATGGGGAGATAAATCAGCACAGCACAGAGATGCTGCGATGTGAGTCATTGGCCTTAAGCAGTCCCCTGGCAGGGGCATGGCCTTTCTGGTCTCCTGGCACTTTGCCAGCTTATCCAGCAGCATCTGGGTGTC